AAACAGTACCAAGCAGTTAGGGCTGAGGGTAAAGAGTCACCCGTCTCAAATGCTCTAGTATATTTGAATGTTGGTAGTTACACTGGGGCCGGGTCTAATGAGCGTGTTCTGTCAGTCATCCCAGTCAAAGTAAAGTTGGAAAAAGGGACAAAGATTGTGGAGACTTATGCCTTTCTAGATCAAGAGAGCTCTGCAACTTTTTGTACAGAGGCTTTGATGATGCAGTTAAATGCACCTGGAAAAAATGTGGAAATCATGCTAAAAACCATGGTGCAGGAAAAACCTGCAAATAGCTATAAAGTATCTAGTTTTGATGTAGCTGCTTTAAAAGAAAAGGAGTACTTGAAGTTGCCTGATGTTTATACTTAGTAGTCCATTCCTGTCAATAAAGCAAACATCCCTAAAGAGGAAGACTTAAGAAACTGGTCTTATATAAAAGTTGTTGAGTTGACACCAATAGATGCTGGCATTGGGCTGCTCATTGGTGTAAATTCTCCCAAAGCATTGGAACCTTGGAATATAGATAGCAGTGAAGGTAGTGGGCCTTATGCTGTGCTTACACATCTTGGTTGGGTTGTTAATGGTACAGTCAATCAGGGTAGTGAAGAAAATTGACATGTTGCAGGTTCTATTCAGGTGAACCATATCTCTATAGGCAGTTTGGAAGAAATGCTAGTGAGTCATAACCAGGATTTTGTAGAGCACAAGTGTAATGAGCATACTGAAATGTCTGTAGAAGACAAACAGTTCATAGACATCATGTCAAAGTCAGCGGTGCTTAAAGATGGTCAATATCACCTGAAGTTACCCTTTCATAATCCTGAACTAAAAATATCCAACAACAAACAGGTGGCCCAGCAGAGGGCACAATATCTGTTAAAACGATTTCGGAAGGACAAGTTATTCTTTAAAGAGTACAAAGAATTTATGCATAATGTTGGCATGGGAGGTCATTCAAAAATCATACCACAAGATCAAATGGAACATGAGGAAGGAAGGGTGTGGTACGTACTTCATCATGGTGTCTACCACCCCCGTAAGGAAACCCTACCGATTGTCTATAATTGTTCTGCAATGTTTGCTGGAACATCACTGAACAAAGAGCTGTTACAAGGACCAGATTTAACTAGCACCTTATCAGGTTTGCTCATTCGTTTTCAGGAAGGTCCAATAGCTCTTATGACAGACATTAAAGGGATGTTCCACCAGGTCAGAGTTGCTCAGGAACATGTAAATGACCCGTGTTTTCTCTGGTGGCCCCACCGAAACATCACAAAAGAGCTTGTTGAAAATAGAATGTTGGTCCATGTTTTTGGTGCTGTCTCTTCCCCTAGTTGTGCCACATATGCACTTTTAAAGACTGCTGATGATAACCAACATCTGTACCCAGAAGAGGTCAAATTTATCTACCTTTAGTATTCTCTACCAAAAATCTTCCATCCTATTTAGATGTCTCACTGAGTTTTGTCAGGAGACAAATTGTAATATTGTTATAGTGGCGTTGTAATAATTCCTCTCTCCCCTGAAGTGATGGCAATTCCTTCTTTTTTACTTGTGAATGCACAACTTTATATAAGATTGGGCTTAGAGGAATGGCAAAGTATTTAGTAAACTCCCTAATATGCTTCTCTGAATGGAAAAGCTCTATTTACAGATGCTTATTAAAACTGTGCATTCCGAATGAAAGACCAATCTGTCTCATATGTTTGTACCAAAATGCTTTTAGCATACTAACCATGGTCTTTGACTAACATATGCCATTAGTATTGTCGATTTCACATCAATCTTTAATCCTTAACTCTAATAACCATTTGACCCAAGAAGGTCTAAATTTGCACAATATATCCCAAATACTTTTGGTGCTTTTTATGAAGAGGACAGAAATGAGAAATGCCTTTGTTTTTTTGTCTATATCTATTTTCTGAACGCAAACAAGATCTGTTTTAAATATCATTAAACCCAATTGCTTTAGTGTTTTTTTATTTATCTTTATTTTATTGATAGTTATACAGAAAAATATAGGCATAATGTTTTACAGAATATTTTGAGATATAAATAAAATTAAAGGAGAAAGAAAAAACTGGATAATCATTCAGGACGTTGTTTGGACAGCATGTTTAAAAAACATTGCAAAATACACTGAGAGACAAATCTTGAGTATTGCATGAACTGTCAATTAAACTGTCCTTGAGTATTACCACAATGGTTACATTCAAAGATAATAATTTATGTTATTGTTACATAATATTTCATTTTGCATTAATAATTATGACAAAACTAACACAAACAAATTTCAATAGCCTCAATTCTAATTGCACAATTTTTTGATCTATGGTAGATAGATCTCAGTAAAAGCTTAAAACTTTAAATTCATGATGAATTCGTAGTTTCCAATTAAAACAACATCCTTGTTCATACCAGCAATAGTTAAAATTTTTTAGCAGTTGGTTTCTGTGAAAACCAGCAGATCCAATTATTACTGGCTTGACAGTAGCCATGACAGCAAGATCATGCTGAATGCAGTGATGAGGCTGATATTGTGGCTTACTCCACTTGACGTCTCTGTAAGAGTGTAAAAGGGGACAAATAGTTTTATTATTATAAACTTCCCAGTCATATTGAAAGTTTTGCAAAATATTTCTTTGTGATAGTGTAGATTGTATGTAGCTTAGCTTACGTGTGCCATCAACAGTAATGGAACTGGTGTCGATGTTGAAAGCTGTGATGGTTGAAGCTGCATTGACCAAAACCTCTGATATCTGGGTGTTATTAGGAGCTGTTGCTAATGCAAATTTCAGGTCAATATTGTTGATGATTGACCCATTACTGCAAGGATGATAAATTATCAGTTAATTTGTGCATATGTTCATTAACAATAATCAGATTTTTTTCTACAAATCCTACCTAAATGACCTCACAGTGAAGTCTCGGAATGAAGAAGAAAACTCTCGCTGAAAAAGTGGTTCAAGCTGTGGAAAAAAAAAAGAGTTTTCTATGAATAGTTCATTTGCATAATTCAAAGTGTAAACATAAGTATGTTTATATTTAAAATTCATTCACATTTAACTAGTTTATTGGAACAAGAATTCCAAAAATTCTGATCACCATTGAAACCACAAAGATGCAAAATGCCAGAACCAGTAGTAAAGGGAAACCAACTATATCTAAACTGCTATTGCTTTAATTTTTGGCTTTCTTTGGGACTAAAGGTAGCGTAATCACATATTTTCAAATCATATGTTTTTGATTACTTAAAAGATTCAAAAGAATGGGACAGTGCCAAGCTCCTCCAGTAGCAGGTAACAGACAGAATCACAATTTTGATTTTGATGATGCATCAGAAATATACTTAGCATGCAGAACTCAACTGGCTAGGTTTAATATAAAACGGGTATCACTATCTGCTTCATCATGTTTTCTTATCCTGTAGATCTTTTTCTTTTCTTAAACATTGCAGATCCTATCCTAAAAATAAAAAGTTAAATATGAAATGGTACTTTTGTCATGATCTGCCCTTATAGCTGATCTAATTACTCACTTCACGCACCTGCCGTACCCTGCTCACTTATTATCATTCATCTTATCCCCCTGCTCCTTCCGCTTTATATACGGTTCAGCCCAGCTATCGGTACCAGATTTTTAAGTTTGTTTGTTTGAGTTTTTTTTCCAGAGTTCAGTTCCCATTCTTGGAGGCCAATGTTAGAGAGGGTTTTTGTTGTCTTGCATTTCCTGACCGTGTCCTAACTCTTCTTCGCTGATTATCCTGTTCCTGTTTTGTCTCTGCAGGGAGGAGTTAATTCTAAGTTCTGTAGTCCTGACGCCTGGTTGGAGCCAGTTTAAAGTTCTGCAGTTCTCCTGGTACAATGTCTTGTCTCTGTTCCTCTCAACCACTGAGCCCGCCTGTCTCCATCTGAGCATGTTTGCCTGATCCCGCTGCTGGATTCCTGGAACCCTGAATCTGTCCGTTCCTGTTTGGATTTGAACCCCTGGTCAGGCTATGGACTCCTGGATCTCAGAACCATCCTTGTTTAGAACTGTTTCCCTGACTCTGTCAGGAGAGGATGGACTGAACTGTTAAACCAGGTAAGTGACTTACACGGATAATCATCTTCCGTCAGATTATCATGGTCACTTTCTTTCCTGTCTCTCTCAAAAGTGTCAGTAATGGGTTGTGCCCCGCCTCCCCCCACTGCCACTGCGTATCCACAGATCCACAGCAAATTGCTTCCTGTTTCTGTCTCTGTCTTTATTTTATGAAATGTTTTCTACATTCTGGGTTTTATGACAACTTTTTATATTTGTAAAAGTGAAGATCGAAAGCGGAAGTAAGACTTACATTGGACTTCAAAAGTCCAGCTCGATTTTGAAATGCTGCAGATGAGGAGTCTAGCAAATCATTTGTGAAGGTCTCACCAGCAGACCTAAAAGTCAGTCGTTTTGTTACTGTTGCCTCCACAGTAGTAGCAGTTGTTGTGGTAGGAGCAGCCGTTGTTTTGTTTGGAGCTGCAGTAGTTGTGTTTGTTGTTGCGATGCTTTGCAAAGGTGTACCTGGCAATTAAAAAAGATTAAGCAGTAATAAGAGAAGTTGTTATTGTCATAAATACTATCTATACAAATAAAAAAAAATTTAATCAGTGTTTAGACAAATATCTACATTGCTCTTTTTGTGTACGTATAGTGTTAGACTTCTCTTTACTTACGTGTAACATTAAAGGAGTTCGGTACAAACGATACATTGAAGGTAGTTGAGTTTATGGCCTTCACTAAAGTATTGATTACAGCATCATTGTCTGGAAGGTTTTCAATTGGTGTGGTTTCATTAAACACTAGCCCCATCTCGGCTTCAGTGTTACTCGCTCTTGTAGTGGCTGGAACAGGACTGAAATTCAAACATGATAGTGGAGCAACAAATATGATTATAAATAAGGTAAGTCATTACTAGATTGTCAACACCACACTTGTAGAAAGTAAAGAAATATGATCGAAATCTTAAATCTTACCGTAATCTAAAGACAAAACTACGGATGAACATTTCTCCATACTCTTCCTCATAGATAACGTCATACTATAGAGCAAAACAGAAGATAACAATTGCAAAAGCTTTAAAATGTATTATCTCAATATTAATGCATTCTTAATCTCTATTGTTATATATCCATGAAGAAACATTTTAGAATGGTACTTACTGTTTCTGTGGCTCTTTTCTCAAGATTTTTAAATTCTTGGCTCTCTCTATTATTAAATGCTTCATTAAATGTTTCAACAAAAATTGATATAACAAAGTAAGTTCTATCAGGAATAGCAGTTGTTGTGACTGGAGCAGCTGTAGTTATGGCTGGAGCAACTGTAGTTGTGGCTGGAGCAGCTGTAGTTGTGACTGGAGCAGCTGTAGTTGTGACTGGAGCAGCTGTAGTTGTGGCTGGAGCAGCTGTAGTTGTGGCTGGAGCTCCTGTAGTTGTGACTGGAGCAGCTGTAGTTGTGGCTGGAGCAGCTGTAGTTGTGACTGCAGCAGCTGTAGTTGTTGCTGGGGTTGCTGTAGTTGTGACTGGAGCAGCTGTAGTTGTGGCTGGAGCAGCTGTAGTTGTTAATGGAGCAGCTGTAGTTGTAGCTGGAGCAGCTGTAGTTGTGACTGGAGCAGCTGTAGTTGTGACTGGAGCAGCTGTAGTTGTGGGTTGCTGTAGTTGTTGCTGGAGCACCTGTAGTTGTGACTGCAGCAGTTGTAGTTGTTGCTGGGGTTGCTGTAGTTGTTGCTGGAGCACCTGTAGTTGTGACTGGAGCAGCTGTAGTTGTGGCTGGAGCAGCTGTAGTTGTGACTGCAGCAGCTGTAGTTGTTGCTGGGGTTGCTGTAGTTGTTGCTGGAGCACCTGTAGTTGTGACTGCAGCAGCTGTAGTTGTGGCTGGAGCAGCTGTAGTTGTAACTGGAGCAGCTGTAGTTGTGACTGGAGCAGCTGTAGTTGTGACTGCAGCAGCTGTAGTTGTTGCTGGGGTTGCTGTAGTTGTTGCTGGAGCACCTGTAGTTGTGACTGGAGCAGCTGTAGTTGTGGCTGGAGCAGCTGTAGTTGTGGCTGGAGCAGCTGTAGTTGTGACTGGAGCAGCTGTAGTTGTGACTGGAGCAGCTGTAGTTGATGCTGGGGTTCCTGTAGTTGTTGCTGGAGCACCTGTAGTTGTGACTGCAGCAGCAGTAGTTGTTGCTGGGGTTGCTGTAGTTGTGGCTGGAGCAGCTGTAGTTGTGACTGCAGCAGCTGTAGTTGTTGCTGGGGTTGCTGTAGTTGTTGCTGGAGCACCTGTAGTTGTGACTGGAGCAGCTGTAGTTGTGGCTGGAGCAGCTGTAGTTGTGGCTGGAGCTCCTGTAGTTGTGACTGGAGCAGCTGTAGTTGTGACTGGAGCAGCTGTAGTTGTTGCTGGGGTTGCTGTAGTTGTTGCTGGAGCACCTGTAGTTGTGACTGGAGCAGCTGTAGTTGTGGCTGGAGCAGCTGAAGTTGTAGCTTGAGCAGTTGTAGTTGTAGCTTGAGCAGCTGTAGTTGTGACTGGAGCAGCTGTAGTTGTGACTGGAGCAGCTGTAGTTGTTGCTGGGGTTGCTGTAGTTGTTGCTGGAGCACCTGTAGTTGTGACTGCAGCAGCTGTAGTTGTTGCTGGAGTTGCTGTAGTTGTTGCTGGAGCACCTGTAGTTGTGACTGGAGCAGCTGTAGTTGTGGCTGGAGCAGCTGTAGTTGTGACTGCAGCAGCTGTAGTTGTTGCTGGGGTTGCTGTAGTTGTTGCTGGAGCACCTGTAGTTGTGACTGGAGCAGCTGTAGTTGTGGCTGGAGCAGCTGTAGTTGTGACTGCAGCAGCAGTAGTTGTGACTGGAGCACCTGTAGTTGTTGCTGGAGCAGCTGTAGTTGTGACTGCAGCAGCAGTAGTTGTTGCTGGGGTTGCTGTAGTTGTTGCTGGAGCACCTGTAGTTGTGACTGGAGCAGCTGTAGTTGTGGCTGGAGCAGCTGTAGTTGTGGCTGGAGCAGCTGTAGTTGTGACTGGAGCAGCTGTAGTTGTGGCTGGAGCAGCTGTAGTTGTGACTGGAGCAGCTGTAGTTGTGACTGCAGCAGCTGTAGTTGTTGCTGGGGTTGCTGTAGTTGTTGCTGGAGCACCTGTAGTTGTGACTGGAGCAGCTGTAGTTGTGGCTGGAGCAGCTGTAGTTGTGACTGCAGCAGCTGTAGTTGTTGCTGGGGTTGCTGTAGTTGTTGCTGGAGCAGCTGTAGTTGTGACTGGAGCAGCTGTAGTTGTTGCTGGGGTTCCTGTAGTTGTTGCTGGAGCACCTGTAGTTGTTGCTGGGGCAGCTGTAGTTGTGGCTGGAGCAGCTGTAGTTGTGGCTGGAGCAGCTGTAGTTGTGATTGGAGCAGCTGTAGTTGTGGCTGGAGCAGCTGTAGTTGTGACTGCAGCAGCTGTAGTTGTTGCTGGGGTTGCTGTAGTTGTTGCTGGAGCACCTGTAGTTGTAAAAGGGGACAAATAGTTTTATTATTATAAACTTCCCAGTTATATTGAAAGTTTTGCAAAATATTTCTTTGTGGAGATTGTATGTAGCTTAGCTTACTTTTGCCATCAACAGTAATGGAACTGGTGTCGATGTCGAAAGCTTTGATGGTTGAAGCTGCATTGACCAAAACCTCTGATATCTGGGTGTTAGTAGGAGCTGTTGCTAATGCAAATTTGAGGTCAATATTGTTGATGATTGACCCATTACTGCAAGGATGATAAATTATCAGTTAATTTGTGCATATGTTCATTAACAATAATCAGATTTTTTTCTACAAATCCTACCTAAATGACCTCACAGTGAAGTCTCGGAATGAAGAAGAAAACTCTTGCTTATAAAGTGATTCAAGCTGTAGAAAAAAAAGAAGAGTTTTCTATGAATAGTTTATTTGCATAATTCAATGTGTAACGTATGTATATATTTTAAAATTCATTCACATTTAACTAGTTTATTGGTGAAGAATTCCAAAAATTCTGATCACCATTGAAACCACAAGGATGCAAAAATCCAGAACCAGTAGTAAAGGGAAACCAACTCTATCTAAACTGCTATTGTTTTAATTTTTGGCTTTCTTTGGGACTAAAGGTAGCGTTATCACATATTTTCAAATCATATGTTTTTGATTACTTAAAAGATTCAAAATAATGGGACAGTGCCAAGCTCCTCCAGTAGCAGGTAACAGATAGAATCACAATTTTGATTTTGATGATGCATCAGAAATATATTTAGCACGCGGAACTCAACTGGCTAGATTTTATATAAAACGGGTATCACTATCTGCTTCATCATGTTTTCTTATGCTGTAGATCTTCTTCTTTTCTTAAACATTGCAGATCCTATCCTAAAAATAAAAACTTAAATATGAAATGGTAATTTTGTCATGATCTGCCCTTATTTTTGATCTAATTACTCACTTCACGCAGCTGCCGTACCCTGCTGACTTATTATCATTCATCTTATCCCCCTGCTCCTTCCGCTTTATATACGGTTCAGCTCAGCTATCGGTACCAGATTTTTAAGTTTGTTTGTTTGAGTTTTTTTGTTTATTTGAGTTTGTTTTCCAGAGTTTCGTTCCCATTCTTGGAGGCCAATGTTAGAGAGGGTTTTTGTTGTCTTGCATTTCCTGACCGTGTCCTGACTCTTCTTCGCTGATTATCCTGTTCCTGTTTTGTCTCTGCAGGGGGGAGTTAATTTTAAATCCTGTAGTCCCGACACCTGGTTGGAGCCAGTTTAAAGTTCCACAGTTCTCCTGGTACAATGTCTTGTCTCTGTTCCTCTCAACCACTGAGCCTGCCTGTCTCCATCTTAGTGTGTCTGCCTGAGCTCGCTGCTGGATTCCTGGAACCCTGAATCTGTCTATTCCTGTTTGGATTTGAACCCCTGGTCAGTCTACGGACTCCTGGATCTCAGAACCATCCTTGTTTAGAACTGTTTCCCTGACTCTGTCAGGAGAGGATGGACTGAACTGTTAAACCAGGTAAGTGACTTACACGGATAATCATCTTCCGTCAGATTATCATGGTCACTTTCTTTCCTGTCTCTCTCAAAAGTGTCAGTAATGGGTTGTGCATCTTCAGGTAACACAGAGTACATTTCAGACTTAATAATATTACTGTAGCGATAGTTTAAAGGTGTTGCTTTATTGTATATCTCGTACCATGTCTTTTGGTTGTGCTGTTCTTTTTTCATCTCGTTACAGGTGATGAAGCAGACTGAAAATGTTTTGTCATTGTCTCCTTTCTATCTATCTTTGTCCTTTTTTTTCTTTTTCTTTTTTCTTTTTCCTTTATCTTCTTCTGCTTTTCTGCTCTACTTACATTGCAGTGTCCATATAAACTGTAAAACTCCCTGCATAATTATAATAAAGCAATTTATATGCATGAAACAATTGGAGCAGTATGGCAATTGCCATACCGCTACACTTGTGAAAGTAAAAACTGTTGGGCTCCTTTTGGCATCAAGACAATTATTCTTATTGTCACCTTGCCAGACAGGACACTGTAAAAAAAAAAAAAAAAAAAAAAGTAATGGGCTGTGCCCCGCTTCCCCCCACTGCCACTGCGTATCCACAGATCCACAGCAAATTGCTTTCTGTTTCTGTCTATATTTTATGAAATGTTTTCTACATTCTGGGTTTCATGACAACTTTTTATATTTGTAAAAGTTAAAATTGAAAGCGGAAGTAAGACTTACATTGGACTTCAAAAGTCCAGCTCGATTTTGAAATGCTGCAGATGAGGAGTCTAGCAAATCATTTGTGAAGGTCTCACCAGCAGACCTAAAAGTCAGTTGTTTTGTTACTGTTGCCTCCACAGTAGTAGCAGTTGTTGTGGTGGGAGCAGCAGTTGTTGTGGTAGGAGCAGCAGTTGTTGTGGTGGGAGCAGCAGTTGTTGTGGTAGGAGCAGCTGTTGTGGTAGGAGCAGCAGTTGTTGTGGTAGGAGCAGCTGTTGTTGTGGTAGGAGCTGCTGTTGTTGTGGTAAGAGCAGCTGTTGTTGGTATGGGAGCCGCTGTTGTCATGGTGGGAGCAGCTGTTGTTGTGGGGGGAGCAGCTGTTGTTGTGGTAGGAGCAGCAGTTGTTGTGGTAGGAGCAGCAGTTGTTGTGGTAGGAGCAGCTGTTGTTGTGGTAGGAGCAGCTGTTGTGGTAGGAGCAGCAGTTGTTGTGGTAGGAGCAGCTGTTGTTGTGGTAGCTGCTGTTGTTGTGGTAAGAGCAGCTGTTGTTGGTATGGGAGCCGCTGTTGTCATGGTGGGAGCAGCAGTTGTTGTGGTAGGAGCAGCTGTTGTGGTAGGAGAAGCTGTTGTTGTGGTTGGAGCAGCTGTTGTTGCAGGAGCAGCTGTTGTTGTGGTGGGAGCAGCTGTTGTTGTGGTAGGAGCAGCTGTTGTTGTGGTGGGAGCAGCTGTTGTGGTAGGAGCAGCTGTTGTTGGTGTGGGAGCCGCAGTTGTTGTGGTGGGAGCAGCTGTTGTTGTGGTTGCAGCATCTGTTGTTGCAGGAGAGCAGTGTTGTGTGGTAGGT